GAACAGCAAATGTGTTGTCTCTGTGTCCACTTAACATCAATTCAAACACCATGACACAATTCCATCAGATTAATGATAAAAACCTAGAGGACATTATACAACTTCTGAAATCCTCCTCTTGCTGCCTTGATATTATTCCAACAGGATTTTTTAAAGATGTTTTGCCTTGCATGGCCTCAGATCTACTTCATATAGTAAACAAATCTCTTCACTCAGGTATTTTTCCACAGGCCCTGAAAACTGCAGTCATTAAACCACTCTTAATAAAGAATAATCTAGATGCTTCAGTAATGAACAATTACAGGCCCATATCAAACCTCCCATTTCTAGGTAAAATCATTGAAAAGGTTGTTTTTCAACAGTTGAGTAATTTCTTGCATTTAAATAACTGTTTCGATGTGTTCCAGTAAGGCTTTCGTCCAAACCACAGCACTGAGACTGCTCTTGTAAAGGTCTTTAATGACATCCACTTAAACACAGACAGTGGCAGACTTCAGTGTTAGTATTATTAGATCTCAGTGCTGCGTTTGACACTGTTGACCACAGCATATTACGAGACCGACTGGAAAACTGGGTGGGACTTTCGGAAACGGTTCTAAATTGGTTTGAATCCTACTTAAAGGACAGAAACAACTTTGTTTCAATAGGTAAATACACATCTGAGTTGACAAATATGACATGTGGGGTTCCTCAAGGCTCCATCTTGGGGCCTCTTCTCTTTAACATCTACATGCTACCACTGGCTCAGATAATGAAAAACAACAAAATAAGTTACCATAGCTATGCAGATGACACACAAATTTACGTAACAATTTCACCAGGAGACTATGCTCCAATTCAAACACTGAGTAAGTGCATTGAACAAATCAATGACTGGGTGTGTCAGAACTTTCTCCAATTAAACAAAGATAAAACTGAGGTAATGGTTTTTGGAGCCAAGGCAGAACGTATAAAAGTTAGCGCTGAGCTTCAGTGTGCAATGTTCAAAACAACAGATAAAGCCAGAAATCTAGGTGTAGTCATGGACTCTGACCTGAGTTTCAACAGTCACATTAAAACAGTTACTAAATCAGCCTACTATCACCTAAAGAATATATCTAGGATTAAAAGACTAATGTCACAGCAGGATTTGGAAAAACTTGTCCATGCTTTTATCTTCAGTAGACTCGACTACTGCAATGGTGTCTTCAGAGGTCTCACTAAAAAATCTATTAGGAAGCTGCAGCTGATTCAGAACGCCGCTGCTCGAGTCCTCACTAACACTAAGAAAGTGGATCACATCACTCCTGTTCTGAAGTCTTTACACTGGCTTCCTGTGTGTCAAAGAATAGATTTCAAAATACTGCTGCTGGTTTATAAAGCACTGAATGGTTTAGGCCCAGGATACATTTCCGACCTCCTGCTAAATGATGAACCATCCAGATCTCTCAGGTCTTCAGGGACTGGTCAGCTTACTGTCCCCAGAGTCAGAACTAAACATGGTAAAGCAGCGTTTAGTTATTATGCTCCAAATATCTGGAACAAACTCCCAGAAACCTGCAGGTCCGCTGCAACTCTGACTACTTTTAAATCCAGGCTGAAGACTTTTCTTTTTGTCGCTGCTTTTAATTGAACTATTCATATCTTAGACTGCACTGTAACTTTTATCCATGTACTTTTTCTTTTAATGTTTAATTGAACTATTCATATCTTAGACTGCACTGTAACTTTTATCCATGTATTTTTTCTTTTAATGTTTATTTTATTAGCTTTTCTTTTTAATGACTGATTTTAAATGCCTTTTTCTTAATGTCTTTCATTTTTTGTAAAGCACTTTGAATAGCCTTGTGTTGAAAAGTGCTATATAAATAAACTTGCCTTGCCTTGCCTTACATGAACTGTATTCTGTTTAACTGGCAACACTTTTCTTTTTTACTCTGTTTTCGTGGAATGCATGTCAGAAAACCCGACTTCCTTCAAACTGTTTGCACATGTTACTCACTGGGACCGTATTGATCTTAGTCCCATGTTCCCTGCTTCAGTATTTCTCAGCCAAAGGTTGATTGCATAGAAAGTAGATGGATGGCTGCTTTATTTATTGCAATGAGGACACACAGTCAGGTTCATAATGATGACTGTAAATATTTGTATATCAATAACACCTCATGGCTCTGGGATTTATGAAGCAGTATATCAATGTTATTGGGTCTTGTCAAATCCTGTGTAAGTGCATTGATTGAAATTGTCAACACGTTTGATACATTATTAAGGAAAAAGCTAACAGAATAACTTATGGCTTATTTGCATTTTCTATATGCAAGCATAGTCATTTTGAGTGATGGAATACAATACAAACATTAAAGCATGGAGACATGTCACAGTAGAGGCAGCAAATACAAATATGAACCTGACATTGAGCATAATAAGGGCCTCTTTAAAACAACGTTTTTTCCACCATGCGGTCACCTCTTATTCCTCACACATACAAAAAGAAAAAATGTGCTGGTAACTCAGGATTCTTTGGCTCATGAGCATCACTGCCAGTGTAAAAGACTTATACGATGCGGATGTTGACTTCACTTTGTTTTCAGCAACAACCAATATTAAGATGGCTCTTTTAAAGTGAGCGCATCACAAACAGAGTGTAGAGGGATGGTCACAGGTTGCAGCATTATTAGTGCAGCCTCCTATTTGAACACTAACTTGGAGTGTATGTTCACATCCACTCATGTGTTTACTCCTCCTGTAATGATCAGCGCTGCACAGAGGCACTGAAAACACAGATTCCACCGAGGAAAGTGTTTGATCTCCTCTCTGTTCAGTGGCAATAAAAGGAGGGAGGGGGGGTTTTGAATTTCAGAAAAGCACAATGAGAGCCTTTTAAGTATGACACAGCTGCAAACACTACATGTGTGAATGCTCGAGAGGCCTGCACCCCAATCATATGGTTTCCTTTCCCTCGTTGTGCTGGTGTTTTCAGGCTGTATGCATGTATTTTTCATGAGAGGTCATTTCATTTTTCTGTCAATTGCCAGACTGCAACCGCCTTGTATAATTACCAATAATGACAGTGTTAGGATGCAGTCGCTAGGCAACATCTAAAGAGTGCAGACATAAGGATGAAGGAGATTGTGTACCGCTATAGAAAGGTTTATTCCAGGGTTTTATGCGCTGCATTATCATGGGAGTGTTTGGTCAAATCGTGTTTATGGGCTTCTCAAAATCTCAGTCATCTCTCTCATGAATACTGAGGGTGGTGAGTGCGTAGGCACATGCACAAGCTCTCACAATGAATGGATTTAATAGTAAGGATATGTATTTGGTTCAAGGACATGTAGGTTATTGAATATTTAATGTGTTCAGTTTGAGTTAGTGTTGATTATTAAAGCACACATCTGTGGTGGTAATAATTCAAAATAAAATAAATATATATGATTAAGGGATTGTGTAAAAATGATAAGTGTAGTAAGGGGGACTTTACTTTATGTTTTACCTTTATTATACATTTGTACAACTCTTCCCTAGATTTGAGTCTTAAAATAATGTTTAGATGTGAAACACAACAATCTTTTTGATTCAATGTTCCCTTACCATAGATGTTAAGTAAAACATTTATACATATCCTTATTTGTAACATACGCCTTAATTTTCTTAAGTAATACAAATATGTTTTACTTGAACATGAGAAATGTGGCACTGGTCTATTGTAATTATTTTATTAGGAAGAATATATTATATATTTTTTTCCCTCTAATGTCTGGAAGAGCTTAGTAATAAATTGTCAAATCATATTTTTTTTTAAAAATGTTGTGTGTTGAGATTGTTTCTTCTTTCTTTCTGTCGTTATCAGGATCCCCATTGCCACTAGAAAGAGCATTGGCTAAATATATTAAATATGATATAGCCTCATATAAATTGTAGTTCCTTAATCGAATAAACCCAGCATCGGATCGAAGCAGAATGTGATATTGTCATATATTATATCGTGCTAAATATTGGAAAAATATCATAATGATTAAACTTGTAATGTGTACCTAACCACAGTACAACTCCTTTAAATACATAACAAAAAAAAGGTAGACAAAATTATGTATGACACCTAATGAAACATGAGGCACCACAACGTGAAGATTGAATATCTTTATAGTTGAACACCAGCTCTGTGGCTGTGGACAGGCTCAAGCATTATAATATCTCTGTTCCACCAAGGGCCCAAATAACAAAACTAAATATAAATTACACCTGGTGTTTTGCCTAATATGATATAATATATGGTTGTTGACAATTCATCACAGGTAATACAATTAAAAGATTCTGAGTCACATAACCAGGCATGTAACCAGGTGCGTTTAGGATCAGCAAATAAGCCCCTCAGACAGGTGTGCCAAACAGCGTGCGGCAAATATTAGAATCTGAGCTAATTACTGTCGGAAAATGTCTAGTGACGTGCGGGAGAGGAACACAGTGATAAATGCAAATTACGCTTCAATGTCTTGTTGTTCGGCTGAAGGACAGACGGAAATGTGTGTGTTTAGGAAAAAAGAAAACCAAAAAGACGTGTGAAGCAGACTTGTAGGCTAGGTGGCAGCACATGATGTCACATGGTAGCTCATAAACGTGACTAATAATTCTTCTCATTTAGATTTCATTTTAAACGCCGTTTGATTTATGTTTCCTCATATACTGTAAGAAGACACACAATATGATTTATGTCCCTTAATAAAAAAAGACCAATAATATGATATGTTTGAAAGCCACATGCTGTTGGATATAAACATGTCAGTATCAGTTTGAGATGGGGCAGTGACCATCAATCACAGAACTCAAAAATATAAGATATATATGAGAAGACAAAAAAAGGAATATTAAGGAAATCAAATATCAATTGGTCGAACATTTTATTTCACTTCTGCATTTACCTGTTAAGACATTTGTTGTTATCGTTTTAAGCTGTTTTCAAGCTTTTATCAGTGAACACTGTATGACATAATCTCCCTTTCCCTCTTCTGTCTTTTCTACAGGACCCCTCTGTTTTAACTGATATGGCTGCTGCAATGTGGAAGCTTAAATCACTGCACATGGGCTTGTGGATCTTCTTCCTGCTCGTCAACCTCCTTCCTGCAGCCAGGTACGACAACAACCTATTGTAGTTGCAAGTTGCAACACAGTCTCACTCCCTGATAGTCCAATAGCGACGCTTGGTCAGGGTCCTGTGGCGTGCAGTTGTGACGCACCGAGTCTCCTTCAGCTTCATAAATGGACGCAAAGAGCTTTCAACTGATTGCAATGTATTCCCATCGGCGGTGGTATTTGACGCTCAGGGAAGCACCGCATCCGTCCATGTCGGCAGCTCTTAAAGGCAATGTGAGCGTCCATTCCTGTTGGATAACGGAGAATTTTACACCCGTAAATAAGTATTCTCCTTACTGTCGATTGATTTTACAGTGATATCTGCACTATTCATCAACTCAAAAATAGTTTCCGGTCTATTCTGAGGCCCGATCTCTGTAGATAAATAAAGAACTAAGCCAGATGTGTAATATTTAATGCAGCCGTGCCATTTATTACAATGCATTTATTTGATGACTTTCAAAGAGTAAAGCAAGCACTAGCTGAATAAAGTATGATTTTATCTTTTACGAAACGTTTTTTTCATATGGAATACATATACAATCGGAGGTCAACCAATCACAGAGCTTGAGGACTAATCACGGGGTTTGTCGAGCAAAGCGCATGGTGTAGTCTCAAACGATAGCTGAGGATTATGGGTAGTGTAGTGTCTTCGGCCATCCTAAACTCCGATACAACTATTGTACGCATTGTACACAATTTAAACAAATCAATGTTGTGTAATTAACAAGGATAATCTGGTGTTTTTCAGTTGATGAGTAGTGCAGATATTACTGTAAAATCAATCGACAGTAAAGAGAATACTTACTTCCGGGTGTAAAATGCTCCGTTATCCAATGGGTTGAAAGCTCTTTGCGTCCGTTTATGAAGCTGAAGGGGACTCGGTGCGTCACAACTGCACGCCAAAGGACCCTGACCAAGCGTCGCTATTGGACTAGTGTAGGTCACCTCTCAATCCCCCCCCTGACTCTGTCCCTCCAGCTGATTTTCTTCTGATGTGCTTTGTATAATACTTTTAATAATCAGTCTCACTGCTGCAACAGACACAGTCTAACGGCCCCTACACACGGCGGCGTGCGTTGTCGCTTGCCGGCGGGGGGGGGCGCTGAAACTCGACCAACAACCAATCACATGAATCTCCCGCCCCGGACACACAAGCACGCAGTTTGATTGGCGAGAGCTTGTACTGGCATATGATTCGATTGGCTGACGCCTCCATCGAGGCGTCAAAAGTAGAACATTGCTCTACTTTTGCAGCGAGCACCGCGAAAGAAGCTACGCTTTGCTCCCACAATGCAGTTCGGCGAATCGTGACGTCACCTCATTCAAAGTGAATGGGCAGAAGCGGTGAAGCGGCAACGCACGCCGCCGTGTGTAGGGGCCGTAACAAACGCCATCAGAAGTTAAATCTATACTGTAAGCACAAAATCAAGACGTTTTTTTCCGTTTTTACACAGAGAGATAGCATTATCTGTGACTTTGGCATATTTAATCATCCAAACCTCTTTATTGATCACAATTGGCTGTGAAAATCTTTTGTATTGAATTATCCATGCAAAAGGTTTATCCATTATTTACTGAAGTCTCAGGATTGAGACTTCCTGGACCACACTGTGACTTTCACCCTTTTGGACAAGGTTTAAAATATCTCATCCCACCTTGTCATGATTAGGCCCAAAAGAGCAAACACAGAGTGAGGTCATGCTCTCATGGAAATGTAACTCGTACTCTGCACCGGTCTGAATTTCACTGACTGCTGAATTAATGTGCATTGTGCAGCACACCACAGCCCTGATGGTCCATTCACAGCATTCCACCCCCCCCCCCTTAGTTTGTGTGCTAGTCATCAAATAAATATATACAGGACAAATCTCTGGAATGTATAGAAGTAATTCTAACCACACTGCTTGTAATTTCAAACGAAGAGATTACATCGGTTGACATGTTGGCATTGATAAGGTGTTATGTTATGGTGGGTAGTGTAAATCACTTAAAGATTTTGCACGCTGTGAAAGGCGAACCTGGAAGAAGCAGGCAGGGAGAGAAATCAGAAGAGTGTGACAGGGATTAGCCCAGATGTCTTTGTCGTTGTGCCACTTGTCTCTCCTAGCTTGTTAGGCACACATAGAGTTCAAATGACATACATTAAATAGAAATGTGCGGTCGGAACACCATTGGTCCGGTACTGTTTTTCATGGTATGGGCTGGACACCTTGGTAGCATTGAAGGTCTAATGATACAGTGATAAGCTAGCCACATAGCTCGCTATCAACTGTGTTCCAACAGTTTGTGGGATACCTACAACATCAGGAGGATGCGTCCCCAGCTGACCCAGAAAGCGACGCAGGTTCTGGTCCAGGCTCTCGTCATCTCACGCCTAGACTACTGCAACTCCCTCCTGGCTGGTCTACCTGCATGTGCCATCCGACCTCTGCAGCTCATCCAGAATGCAGCGGCTCGTCTGGTCTTCAACCTTCCTAAATTCTCCCACACCACGCCGCTCCTCCGCTCCCTTCACTGGCTTCCGATAACTGCTAGAATCCACTTCAAGACAATGGTACTTGCGTACCATGCTGCGAATGGATCTGGCCCTTCCTACATCCAGGACATGGTTAAACCGTACACCCCAGCACGTGCACTCCTCTCTGCATCAACCAAACGGCTCGCTGCACCCTCGCTGCGAAGGGGACCCAAGTTCCCATCAGCAAAAACACGTGGGTTTGCTATCCTGGCTCCAAAATGGTGGAATGAGCTACCCATTGACATCAGGACAGCGGATAGCTTACACACCTTCCGGCGCAGACTGAAAACTCATCTCTTTCGACTCCACTTCGAGCGATAGAACTATTAACAAAGCACTTATATACTAATAAAGGGCTGGCAGCCAGTTGTGTAGCACTTGAAATGTTTTTGCTCTATGAAGCCTGATGTACTTATATGATTCTGTTTTCTTCAAGTTTGTATTTTGTTGGTCGAACGCACTTATTGTAAGTCGCTTTGGATAAAAGCGTCAGCTAAATGCAATGTAATGTAATGTAATGAAACCCTTTCTGTTCCAACTGAGGGTGTAGGAAAATCATTCTTAGCATTCGGTGCCATTTCAGCTAGGGCAGGGCTATTCAACTGGCGGCCCGCGGGCCAAATCCGGCCCCCGGGTGATATTTACTGGCCCTTTGAGTATAATGTTAAAAAGTAAAAAAAAAAAAAAAAAAGTTTAATTTAAAAAAATAAAATTATTTAATTTTTTTTTTTTTTGGACCAGAGTGCCTTTATTCCTGAGAGGGTGTTACATTGAGAGATAGAGGGGAAGACATTGCCTGAAAACTTTGGCGGGCTCGGGTTTCGAACCCACCTACTACCAAATCCTGTAATTTATTGCGTCTCTGCGCGCGTCCTCGCGGCTCGCGCTGCCCTTCACTACAAGCTCGCGCACCTTCGACGGTTTCGCGCCAATAGAACGATTAATCAAACCTGGTCAGCATAGTTGGATATCAAAATGTCTCTTTCTACGTTAAAAAAACGAAAAGTTGACACCGAAAACCGGCAATTCAACAGCGAGTGGAAAGAGAAGTACTTGTGTGTAAATGTCAGTGGGAGGCCCGTGTGTTTAATCTGCAATGAGTGTTTATCGGTGTGTAAAGAGTACAACTTGAGAAGGCATTTTAAGACAGCTCACGCCAACTTTGACGCCACTTTTCCAGCGGGCTCTGATGCTCGCCGCCAGAAGATTTTGGGGCTAACTTCGTGCTATGACCAAAGACGTAGCTCCCTGTTTCGGGCTTGCACTGACCAAGAGAGAGCTACCGCAGCGTCCCTACGAGTGGCCTGGATATTAGGCAAAAATAAAAGGCCTTTTACGGACGCAGAGACAGTCAAAGAGTGTATGCTTGCATCAATTGAGGAAGTGGTTGCAGATGAGAAAATCAGAAAAAGCGTTATTGACTCAATTAAAAACATTCCGATTTCTGACACGTCAACATCAAGGAGAGTGGAGACCCTTGCATCGGGCGTTTTTGAGATTCTCTTGGACAAACTGAGAAAGGCGGAGGTTATGTCGCTAGCTATTGATGAATCCACTGACAGCAGCGATGATAGCAACTCTAAAACATGTCTCTCTCAACTCTGAAGCGTAAACAAAGACAAAACGGTCATTGATCTTGTGGAGCAGATGCACTGACAGTATCCGGTTTCGCCTGACAGTATCCGGTTTCGCTATGAGTGGTCGCATTTTCGAGAGCTCCCGCTTCGGAGGTTATTCCTCACGATTTTTTACATATTTCATCCTCCTGACAATATGGATTATGGACTCCTACCTCAACTCATCAATGAGGCAACATCACTTAGAGAAGGAGAGTAATGCTTTTAGAAGTGCAAGCATTCATGCATTATTAACTGCAAACCCGACGCGAAAGTACTTGCCCCCGTCAGGCAAACTAGACCGAAGAAGTATGATCGTCTTGGTCTTATTGTTAGCGGGAGACATCCATCTGAATCCGGGCCCGGTGCAGACAAGAAGCCAGTCCTGCAGGCTCGAGGAGCTAGCATCACAACTAGCATCACAACTAGCATCTCTTCCGCTGCAGCAACAACTACGCGACGACAACAGAGACCGTGGAGACAGCGGAGACCGAGGAATAAACGGAGACTTCGACATTCCCCCGGGGACGCCTCGGCAGACAGACACGCATGAGGCAGTGACGAGAGGAAGAGAACCGAGATCCGAGGGAACACATATCCGCCATGTTGTTAGCCACCCTGCTAGCATATCAACGGCTAAAGCTACAACGGAGCCTCCCTCCCCCCACCACCCCACCGCTCCAAACACCACGGCAGGCCGCAAGCCGGTTGCTGTAACGGACAAAGACAAATATCTGCAAGCTGACGACATTGTGCATTTAAGCAACAAAAATGGACTACATCTTTTTCATCTGAACACTAACAGCCTGAGACACAAACTGGCTGAACTCAGGCAACTATTCATGAACGGTAAGGCAAGCA